CTCCACTAGCATTTACAAAACTCGGAATTTTTTTTCGCACGTTTACTGCACTCTCAGCGGTTTCTGGAAACACAACAATGTCTACGCATTCTTTAGATATATGAGCACAAACTCTACAGCCGGGTCTACAGGAAGTAAACGGCTGCTGACGACAATGGTTAATTGCTTCAGTTCCTAAAAATCGGCATAATAAAATACGCTCTAATTTCCTTAATGGCCGGTTGCTCGTCGAGCTAATTTTTCAAAGCCTTATTTACCACGACCATGTTCGTAAACAACATTCCTGTACTTTTTGGACAAGAAATGCTAGAGAGTATGTCTTTTTTCGCAGATGGTTTTCCGGTACCATCAACCAATTGCGGCGCAACGTAGCTGTCTTTGTAGAGTGATTTTAAATGTGCAGATTTAGGGTCGGGAAGTTTTGCTTCGCTAAATGCGACACTTGTCCCAAAATCATGATCACTGGATAAAGTCTTTCATCATCTCGTTTTTCCAAAACAACATTGTCCGATTTTAGATCATTATGTGTGTATCAAACACCTAATGCTTCCGCGGTGCCACAAAGAATCACGTGCCACTCCTGTTTTCCAGCAACATGCTTTGTTTTTGTCGCTTTGTTTTCGGACAACAATTTTTTAAGCTCTGGCTATTTCTACATTATACACATTTACATTCCCAACAAATGAAAAGTACCTACGTTTCTGGGTACCTTCTGCGATGATTCCGGCGCCAGCGCTTCTATCCTGCGCGATCACTGCTAGACGACGAAATGGCGCCATGAGGTCAATAATGAAGCAAAGAAGAGCGTCAGCGAAGCGCATAGCGTTCTGGTCATCTAAAATCCCACATCCAAGCAGCCACTGTGGGTAGAATGTACCTGAGAGTAACAATCTATAAATAGGGTGACTGTTAGATCGCAACTCTCAGGTATATTCTACCCACGATTGTTACAAAGTTAATATGATGGCGTGACTATTAGATTGTAACTCTCAGGTATATTCTACCCGCGATTGTTACAACGTTAATATTATGGCGTGACTATTAGATTGTAACTCACAGGTATATTCTACCCGCATTGTTACAAAGTTAATGTTATGGTGTGACTACTAGATTGTATTAGCTCACAGGTATATTCTAACCACGATTGTTACAAAGGTAATATGATTACTCTCAGGTACATTCTACCCACAATGGCTGCCTGGATATGGGATTTTGAATACCCAGCCCGGGCTCTGCACTTCGCTGACGTTCTTCATGGCTTCATTCTTGATCTTATGTCAACATACTTGCACTTGCGCCATTTTGTCGTAGAGCAGTGATCGCGGGTAGAATCGCTGGTCAAGTAGCTTTGGTCGTATAATTCACTTTGACTCGTTAACTTTCCACAGCCCATGGGTTGAAGTCGCATTTTCGGCACAATGTATTTGTCTCCGATTATGTTCATGTCAACAGCATTTCAGTTATTATCTCTCAGTCCGAAAAGACCATTCTTTTTGAAATACTTCAGAAACGCTGAGCTAAATCTTCTTCGTTCAAAACCTACCAGTTTTCCACTCAGTCAAGTCGATGTGTGCTGTACTTTTTGACTTAATAGTTATTAATAACTTCTCGGTGACTAAAATTACACCAATATTCCCCAATTTTCAAAACTGCGCGTGTTCAGAAAACTGAGATTTGAAGGATAATCAACACAATAGCCTCTATTTGGCGCGAAAATATGCTCGGATATTTGTCCTTGGACATTCTCTACGCTCTAGGAAAACTGTTCGCTTCTAGGAACAGACTGTCCGCGGACAACTATCCGAGCATATTTTCGCGCCAAATGGAGGCCATTGTTTATGAAATTTGTTAAAACAACAAAATAATATGAGGTTAATCGACCCCGACTGAACGAATATTGACTAAACATATTTGTTTGCCTTATTGTTTTATATTTCTTTTTTCAAGTAGCAAGAAAGAGTATTTCGGGAAATTGGCCGCAAAACTGTGTTACTTGTTTGATAATCTCCAGGGCGGTTTTCCATTATTTACTTTGGGGCAAAAATTTCCCTGAATGCGGTTCCTCGCTCGTGGCTCACGTTTCCATTCTGTTGTTTTAATACTAGATGATACGCCAGCCTTCTCTTGACCACTTCAGTTTCTAAGCAGTGTTCTATAAAAAGATCGACACACTGAGAATTTCTGAAATCTCGGCCCTGATTCTAGTTTTAGTGTTAAAAAAAGCCTTATGCAGCCACGATATTAAGTGTTTCGTTACAGACGTCGGTTCGCATTTTTTTTCACATATTGTTCTATAATAATATAATCTAGCAGAAATCTGTTTAATTGACATGATGTATTAAGACTGGGATGCCTAAAACGTCATTTTGAGAAAACACCTTTGACCACAAGTGTCAATATAATTATTTCATATCTAAAAACATGATTGACGCAAACAAACACATTTGTAATCTTCCCTGCTGTGATTTTGTTTGGACTCTGAAGTTCGACATGAGTGACGTTTTCTTAGTTAATTAAATTTCTTATTCATTCTTAGTACGCTGATTTCCAAGGAGTAAAATTCGTCATTGGATTGGGTGATAATTTTTATTACAAAGGTGTTCGTACGGTGGATGATCCCCGATTTACTGCGACCTTTGAGCACGTGTACGCGAGCCCCGCCTTAAAAGAAGCGACGTGGTACATGATTGCTGGAAATCATGACCACGGCTCAAACGTCTCTGCACAGATAGCTTACACTAAGATCTCCCCTCGCTGGCACTTTCCGAATTTCTTTTACACTAAAGGTAAGAAATTTAAAATAAATGACAGACCCTTGAAAATGGCTTAAAAAAAAATGTATGCTCTGTCTTCTCAGTGGTTGATTAGCGTTTCCCTGGTAAAATAACTTTTCATCATTTAAATTCCAACATTTCGATTTGAATGTAACTGGACTGGAGGGAAACTGTCGACCGTTGAATTAAGTGTTGACACGCACGATTTATTCTACGGTTGATGGTTTTACGGCTGTTTGCTTGCGAAATTAGGAAGTTTGAGTGATCACGATTGGTTTATAATCAATGAAAAGCTGGGCGTGTGCCAAAAAGCATGCACAGGCGAATAAATAATAGGGACCTTACGCATATACGACGGCGACGGAGAGGACGACGCCTAGTAAAAAATGTGTTTCTATTTTACTTTGGAATTTCGCATTTATTTGGAACTATCCAATGTGTTTGTCGCAAGAGTCGGTATTAAAACTTGCCGCTGCTGAATATGCTACGAATGCGTTCAGTTCCAAATAGAAATACCAAAAATTAGCAGTTGTGGTTCACGTTCTCCAGACAACGCAGAATTTAGTTATTTCACGTTGTTGTTTTGCAGAGGACGGCAAAGAAATGTGCCAAGAAATATAATGCACGTGCACGGCCATTGTTTTTCTCATTAAACCTTTTGTTTGGTGACGTTAATTCTCGTTGCCGTTGCCGTCGTGTTTTGCGTAAGGTCCCAAATACAGATATGCGCGGAACTGTAAAACCCTCCCTTTAACCTTACAAACTGAAGAAAAGACTAATTAATACTTTTCGTATGTCTCGAGTCTTTTAACGTAAAATCTTAACCAAAAGGTTTGTAGTTTTTTCTCTTAGCTCATTATACAAGACAAAATTAAGGTGGCACCAGAAGACTCTAAAATGAAATAACTTACTTGTTTTTTTCCTATTTGTAAAAAGAAACTTTATTATATAGTCAGTACATTCTTATTCTTTCTTTTCCAGTTTTGAAGTTACCAGGAACTTCCAAAACAGTTCAACTGGTCATGTTAGATACAACTATGCTGTGTTGCAGAAAGTGAGTAGAATTTTGTCAATGTATGAGTGTGACAATCGATGTAAAAATGGAATGAGAGCAATCAGTAAACGCGACTCTCCTATAGGTGTATCCTTCAAGTTTCCTTTTTTATTGCGTTTTTTCCCGTAGAAAGGTTCAAATTTCGGCATATACAGGAGAAATCCCAATCCAATGGTATGAAATATCTGTAAACTATTAAGATTTATTTTTGACAGTCTTCAAAAAATGTCATGGAAAGATGGGAAGCCGCACACTGTAGCACTATCTATCTAACCGTATTGTTACGTACGAGGTGGCCTCAACTAAAAGCCTGGTGGTTTCTAAAGGTCACTTCGCCATACATTGAAATATTCATAAATAATTACTGTATTAGGTAAAAAGGCAAATAAACATGAAGACAAAACGCGTTGTGTCGTAGTCTCCATGAACTGGGTCAGAAATAATTGAACTCACAGATATTGCTAAGCAACACGATACATTCCTATAGCAACATGCTGACCAACCTCGGTCCCATGACTTTTGAAATTAGGGAAAGGCCCTGGGAATGAGGTTGAAGTAAAAAATAACTGCCGCTCATTTTGAAAGGCTTTTTCAAAATGCCTTTTTGCTTACTGGTTTCGGCAAATCGCTCCTGTTTCAGCTTTTACCAAATTTCTTGCCTGTAAAGGCAGTCAAGAATGTTCCGCCCCTCCTAATTTCAAAGGGAAAATCCCTGGAACGAGGTTACAGCCGGCGGGCTCTGGCGGATCAAAAGTCAGAGTTAGGGAAGTATGCGCGACATTTATTTGGAGTTGTTTGTTTTTCCTATTTTGATAATAGCCAACTGAAGAAGTTAAGGAAATTCTCAAGTCAACGACAACAACTAACCTGGATAAAAGATACACTTCGAAGTTCTACGTGAGTATTGTCTAAATAGGAAATGCATTAATGTTTTTAAACCGGTGGGGGCGTACAAATTTCTAGCTTTCGCACTGTCCTTGTGTGACTTTCTCCCAGGCATTCATGGTCAATTGATTTCGGTGGCGTAACTGAGCTAAACGGTGACTGGCAGCTCAGCGGCTTTTGTGACAAGTCAACAATAACGCCAAAAATGTTGAACAAGTGGGAACCAGTATTTTCGAAATTAAAGTCATTAGAACTAAGGTAATCTCCGAAATACTTTGGTTCTTTTAGTTTTTCAGACGTATTACGGAATTTGTTCGCGCATTACACTACACGTACAACTTTGCACTTGGTTAAATAAGCTCGTGCTCTGTTATTAACATGACATCTCATGTAAAACCAAAACCACCGTTGTCTTTTACGCGCATACGCATATATTTGCTTCATGTTCTCACCGGCTTGTTTTCTCAATATTTTCACTAGTTTAAATTGGTCATTGTAATTGTTTGGGTTTTGCTTTAAGCTCCTCAAATGAAAACCACCATATCTTCTTATTGTATTCCAGCGCGGACTTCCTTATAGTGGCTGGTCACCATCCCGTTTTCTCAGCCGGTTCTCATGGCAATACTCGATACCTTGAAACTAAACTCAAGCCACTGCTGGAGGAAAATAACGTCACGGTATACCTCAGTGGCCATGATCACAGTCTACAGGTAAATGTCTACAGCCGCCTACCCAGGGAACTCTTTCGGTATCCTGGTAAAAATTAAGGTTCCCAAACTCCCGTTTAAAGATGTCCTTTTGAAGTTGTCCGTTTTACAGTTGACCATGAAACAAGAGAAATTGCGTCCAGGGCAACATTGCTTTGCAAGTGAGATCACGTCCCGCTTGTATTTTTGAAGTGACGCCTTAAGAAATCTTTACCGACGTCATCGGCTGGCACCAAACATGTAATGAACTTGTGGAACACAGTAATCGATGAGATATTTACTCTGTGGGTGTAACATTGAAAGAGACGTTGGTTTTCTAAACCTGGAAAAAACTTCCGAGTGGCAAAGGCGCTAATAAGCGTTTTTGTTCATTGTTAAGTGTTGAGCTTTTAAACCCACGTTCCGCAAAAAGTACTTTACGCATCGGGCTTAATTCAATTCATTTGTGCCGTGCCTTTCCATCATCAGGGTAAATATATATTTTTTTGTATCTGGGTTAGATTAGAAACAAAAACTTTTATGATAAACAAATATTGTAAACAAATTCCTCTCTATCAACAAGTTACAACAAGTTGAGACCTGACAGGGTTGACCGTGAATCTAATTGGGTGTGCCAACTTTAATCGACTTATTTACCCCCGATGGCCCAACGTTAATCAGGCTCATGTGCTAGTTAAAATAAATATAACTTTTGTGATATATCAATTAAAACAAGTGAACAATGCCACTCCAACCATCATACACTACTCGCGCTACTCTTGTTTATTTCGCTCATGGAATTGTTTCCGGAAGAGGCTAAATTCATTATTAGAGCTCCTTGAGGTACTGGGCTCAATGTTTAAACCAAATCGTTACAGATCTTGCAAACTGATAGAAGTAAATGGTCTCCTTTTAAATTCCCATTTTTCAGGGGGTTTTTTTGTTTCATTTTCTATCTTGACATTGTCATATCACTGTATTTGCTGGAGCAGTTTTCACTTGAGTGTTTCTTCTTGGTGTCGAATATTACTCACGTTTGCTTTGGCTTTGCATTACTACGACAGGTGATTGGCTTAAAAAACTCGCGCCACTTTCTCATCCAATCAGAAGTAAAACCAAAACCAATCGTGACTCGCTCGCGCACGTTTTCCCGCGCTTTGCGTCATGTATTTGCTTTGAGTGTTGATTGGTTCACTGGATTGTCTGTTTCCTTCGTGATTGGCTGGAGTGATTAGGTTGGTTTTGGTTTTAGAACACTCAATTGAGAACTGCTCTATGCCTCTAGCTGGTGTAAATTAAGTTACAGTACAAATAAAGTTATTTTAATATTTATTTTTTTAGCACTTCAAAGAAAACAACTCTATTGTGAACTACTTCGTATCTGGGGCTGGAGGTGGAAATTTTCACAGGCGAAGCCATTGGAACAAGGAGCATCACAAGATTGTCAGCACAAAAATCAAGTGAGTAGATTACTTCATTCGGCGATTTGACTTCGTAACTTGATTCTGTGTATGTAAGACAGAGTCCAGTACAGGTCTCTTTTTCTTTGGAAACAAATGTTTGTTTTGTTTTCAACTCCTCTCGGCATTCTCTCGTCAAGCCACTGCTCGTTATTTTAAAAAAGACTAAAATGGAATCTCGATTTTTTGCGAACCCCCAGGAGAAACGAAGATTTATTAGAAAAATCGCGGACGAGCTTGAGACACCGGGGCTAAAATTAAAGTATCTGATTGGGTGGGGGGG